GGTGCCAGGGCCTGTGCGGGGGGCGGGGTGGAACTGAGGACCTCTCAGTCCCTCCTCCAGTCAGCGATGCCTTCCTCGGGGCTGGGACACTCTCTGCTCCCAAGGGCATGTGGCCAAGAGGGGAGGGGACAGAGGTGGGGATGAGGGGGCAGCAGCACTTGGCCAGTGAAGGGGGCTGGGCCCTCGGTGCTGCTGGGTGCAGAGGGCATGAGGTCTCCGGGAAGGTGTCCTGGGTGATTGAGTATGGGCTTGGCCTGCTCTGGTCCCCCTTCTGGTCCCCGCAGCAGTGAGCAAACTCAGGCTTGCTCTGGGAGGGTTCCAGGAACAGCTCCTGCCCGATATAAATAGACTTCTCCGAAAGGCTTGGGGCTGTGCCAGGTGCACCAGGTGCCCCCCAGGCCTGGCTAGAGGCCACCAGGCAAGGGGGAGGAGCCTGGGGTGGGGGAAACAAGGATGCTAAGGACCCACACTTGCAGCCCCGGCAGCATGGTGGGCTCTGTGTCCTGGCTGCAGCATCACAGAGCTTGATGGGACCTTTCACTCAGAGACCCCTTTTACAGATAAGGAAACAGGCTGGGGTGGCAGCAGCAGCCTATCTCAGAGCTTCTGTCTCCCAGAGAGATGGGGTCAGGATGAGCAAGGTCTCTGGGGGTCAGCAAAGCTGAACTCCAACTGTGATTCTTCTGCTTCCTGGCTGTGTGACTTGGGTGAGTTGCTCAGCTTCTCTGAGCTGCCCTGTTCTATCAGTGCAGCGTGGCCAGTGTTAGTGCCTTGCTGGTGGGACGCAGCGTCTGGCACAGTGTCCGAGAGGACAGACTCATAGAAAGCGGTCAAGATGGGAGACTGGTGGGTCAGCGAATGCCCAGAGCATACCCATTCCCACCTTGGCCTCTCAGGGAGATGCTGCTGGATGGGCTGAGCTGCAAGCTCTGGAGTGGGCATCAGAACCGAGGCCGACCTGACCCGTGGCTGAGTGAATCCACAAGTGGCAGAAGTGGCCGGGGAGCTCAGGCCTTTGGGGCTCCCTGAGCCGGTGGGCAGGGTACCTGGCTTGGTTGGGGCGTGCCACGGGTGCGGGGACCTCCAGCCTGGACACAGCTGCCTTGTCCTTACTTGTCCTGCTGGCTCGCCTGCCTGGGGGCGTGGGGTGGGAGGAGGGGAGAGTTGTGGGCATGGCTGTGCCAGGCCAGGCTGATGGTGATGCTCTCTGGGTGTGTGTGGGGAGAGCCTGGAAGAGGGCCGTATTCTTGGCCGGCTGGGCCCCCGGCCAGCCTTCCCTTGACCCTTCCCTGGCACTGACTGCTGATTGCAGGGGCCAGGCTGTTTGGCTAGGAGCCAGGCTTAGAGCTGGGTTCCCAGCAAGGGGAGGCCATCAGGGACCCTGTGCTGGGGACTCTACCTGCCCTGCTCCACCCCATTCCGAGGGCCCCCCAGTGGCCAGGGCAGGTAAAAAGTTGACGGTGATGCCAGGCTCCACTCGTGGGCTTCACAGTCTGGGGAGAATGTAAGTTCTTGGTCACAGTGCTCCCAGGAGACAAAGCCAGGGCCCTACTGAGGGTGAGGGACAGACAGGGAACCCCCAGGAGGATTTCGCTTGAGAGTGTCACAGAGGGCTTCCTGGGAGAGGGGGCATCTGCATCAAGCCTGGGAGGCTGAGTGGCATA